ATCAGCAATTTTTTGCCCATTTTTTGTATTTCGTACTCTTGTAGTGCGTTATGTACGTTCTTTTGAAGTATAGGTAAATCATTTTGTCTTCATGTCGATGCGTTCTGTAGGACGTCTTATGCGTCTTCGGTTTGCCACGTAATATTAATATGTTGTTCGGTAGTTCCGTCTCTTGGAAGTAGGTGGTTCTTGGGGAACGGTTAATTTCGAGGGAGAGGTGTTTCATAGCGAGGTCTATTTTTGAGGGTTCTGTAGGGCGTTGGGAGGTTTAGCTTTTTTGGAGAGGATGTGTTTATATTGTGTCATAGATGTCTCTTGTATTAGTAGTACCCCTACGAAGTAGTCAGCCAACTATTACTTAATGTCCGTCAGCTTTCGAGCGAGTCCGCCATTCGCGTTCCAGGAGATGTTGAGAAGTCTGTGTCTATTGAATTTAAATTAAGTCGCATACTTTGGTGAATATGGTGATGATTTTTGTCATCAGTCGGTCCTTTTACGATGTTGATGATGTCTTTCGCAGTCGTGATGAGCTTTGATAGGTCGAAGGATTTTAGTAGGGTAAGATGTTCTTTGATGTCGCTGAAAGTGGAGGTTGTAGTGGATGGTGCGTTTGCAGTAGTACTGGAGTAGGTTTGTCTGAGGTTGGAAGTGTTTGCAGGGGAGGGTAGTAGTGGGAAGTCTTGCCTGGAGGGAGGAATTTTCGGTGTGTTTGGTCTAGTCTGTCACTTGTAATGCTTTCTGTCTTCTTTTGCTTAAATCATGTTGGGGCGGTTAGGTGAGTAGGCGGGGTGGTCCTGTTGACAGAGTGAGCATTTGAAGGAGTTAGGGCAAGTCAAGGTGTGGTGGTTGTCGCTGGATTGTGTGCAGATAGTTCGTCTTTGGCAGTAATGTCTGGTGTGGTAGAGCATTTGGCATTTTCACATCGGGGAATAGTCAGGATGGTAGTAGTCATCTATGGAAATTCTGTGTTGCAGCAGGGTTTTAATTGATGATTTTATATTTGTATCGAGTCCGAGTCCAGTCAGGGTGTCATTGTCGTTCCTTCTCTTCATTTCAGATAGGTGGTGAATTTTAAAGTTGTGTTGTGATAGGTCAGATGAGGTCAATAAGGGGAATGTTCGGTGAGTCCTTTAATCACAAGTTTTGTGTGACGGTTCTTCCATAGTCCTGTGGTGGTGGTGGTGGTGGTGGTGGTGGTATAAAGAGGTCACTGCTAAAGTATCTTGTCCTGAGTTTAGCTTCGAGTTCAATGTCCTGTAGTAGTATCTTTTTGTGGATGTCAATGGTCCGTGCCTGAAGGATTAGTGAAGTCTTTGTGCTCTTGGCGTAAAAGCTTTTTGAAAGGTGTTTTTGTAGGTCTGTCAGTAGTAGATGGGCATTTTTTCATTCCTTTGTGGTCGATATGGATTGCTCCAATTTGTGTTCGTTTTACTAGGATATTTTGGGTCTCGGTTGTGGTTCTTGTCGTTTCCATTTCAGTATTTTGGTCCTTTGCCCGGGGATCATTCGTGATCAGTGGTGCGTAGCGGGTGTCTAGGATAACGGTTGGAGGGTCTTTCGTTACGGGAGTCATTCGGGTGTCTTTTTTGTCAGGGATTAAGAAGTCGCCGTTGTCGATAGTCTGTTAGAATGGTAGGTCCTGGAAGTGAAGTGGAGTTTTGGCCGAGAGGAAGGGGTAGAAATGAATTGGGGGAAGTCCTGTGGGATGGTTGGGATTTGCTGCAGCGCCGGCGCTACTCACCGCCTTTTCCAGTTCTGCCCTCTTGGCCGTTGTTGGTGAGTTGTCCCTGCTGGAGCTAGTGGGCCGCTTTCTTTTCTTGGGTCGGAGTCCTGCGTCGCGTTGAAGTGATGTCCAGATGGTGTTGCCATCCATATCGTCATCGCTGCCAGCGATTGAGCTCAGTCCTTTGAGTCTTTTTGCTCTCTAAAAGCAATGGCCTCTTGGCCGGCTACGTTTAGCACAAGCTATACAATCTCTATTTTCCGAGTTTGTAGACAATGATCAGTAGGCTATCCTCAACCGTGCTGCTTGTTCGAAGAGGAGTTTGGAGAACGTGAAAAATTCGCTGATCGTTCGAATACGCGCTCGACAGAACTCTCAGAGTGAGAAGGGGGGGGGGGGGCTGAAGCTGCTCTTTCAATTGCCAGATCCCGTGTTACACGAGCACTAGCGCACAGTTCAAAGTTTAATATTAATTATTTACAAAGGTAAATGACGAACATTATTCAATTTTGGAAATTCAGTCTGTACATTACATAAGAGATAAGGTCTCGCCGTATTAGCAATGAGCACAGAATCACCGTGTTTGTGTGTGTATATATATACATACATACATACATACATATACTTGCGTATATGCCATATACGCAAGTATATGCGCACATATTGTATTTTAAAAAATAGTAAAATAAATGTTTTGGGTAAAAGCTTCTTTATTCAAGATAAGGCTGTATATGTACAAATAATATGCGCACATATACACAAGTAATTATAAAATATTTTTTTACACTACAAATAAGTGCTTAATTTATTTAGTTTATTTTACATCCTTCCCTAATTTTGTTCAAATTATCTGAAATATCCGATTTACGGAGTTTCGATTAGCGATGTTCTACCGTATTTTATATTTAATTTTCTCAAAATTGTTCAATTATGTGAGAAAGTTTATATGAAATATTATATATACTTAATATCAATTTTGTAATTGATTCAAGTCTTTTTATCTGAGTATTATTCATTTTAGTTTTTTTTTTAAATACAAATGTATTTTCAAATATTACAAATAATAAATATTGATTTAAATCATTAATTTTTTAAAAATAATTATTCATTTTAAATCATGATTTAATTCAAACCAGCCTTAACTTGAATAAAGAAGCCTTTACCTGGAACAGCCTTCATTAAATGAATTGTTTTAGTGTCTGGAATTGGCAAGGAATCTTCCCAATTTCTGTCTCTGGAGATATATTCTTCATTAATTAGTAAACCTTTTGTTTTGGGCATTTGCTTTCTAACGACATTGGCAGTATTGATGATTTAACAGTTGAAGATGTGCTTACTTTACTTATAACTTGAGTTCTAACAGGAGATTTAGCGTGTGTGTGTATACCGTCAACTATACCTTTTCTATACGAGGTTGCAGAGTACTTCCACATGAATGTCTTATTAAATTTTTTCACTTTTAAAAAAATCAGCCATTAATCTGTTTTTAAATTTAGAATATGGTGTATATAATCATAGGATGTCAACTGTGTTCTGGACTTCTGGTTCTACAAAGTCACAGTTTGGAATGAAAGGCAGATAGGGTTTTGTTGTTGTTGTTGTTTTTGTATAAATTTTATATCTCAACATATATGTTTGGCATTTTCCATTAAATTTAGAAGCAGCAGTGAGTTATGTTACACTTTCCCTGCTCCATTAAGCATTCTGTACTTCATTTGGATTTTCACAACCATAATTAATTGCAAAATATCTGCCTTGTCCATATGCAGACCCTTTCTTTGTCCATGTTGAACTGCTGTGATTGAATTATTTAGGGGATATTATTTTGCACCATATGTTTGAATCACCTGTTAACTTTTTCTAGTAACTCACCAGCATATCCATCTTTCAATTCTACAGTCTATTTTGGTCAGTTTTTTCCTATTCTTTCCATGCAATTGACTTAGAAAGTTCTAGTTCAATTGTCTCTTTAAACCCAGTACAACTTTTATCACATTGTGCTTTTCAGCATTGAGAGTTCATTACACTGTTGCAAAGAATGTTTTCCCAAAACGCGCTGAATTTTTTTTATTTTTGGAGGGTCTAATTTCATTAAAAAAAGTTCTCAAACGTCTTAAATTTATACTGATCAATAGGCGTATCATGCAAGAGAATAGCATTGCTTAGATAGTGTGGAACGTGGAAAACCCAACTTTGAGTTCGTGTTATTGATCACAAATTGTAGCTAATAAGTTTCCTTTTAGGAAATTGTAAAATTGTACTTTCTCTCTCTTGTTTCCTTTTCATTTTTCTAGGGAGGAATTGTGTGCACTCGGTGTTTCAAAAGATTCTGCTCCAGAACGTGACCAAATCCACAATCAGATGTTAAAACACCTACCCCAAACGGCGCGATCCTTCCTTCCTTGGCCTCTTCAATCGCATTTGGAACGAATACTGCATTCCTGAAACCTGGCACGAAGCTATAGTCATACCTATTACTGCTTGCTTTTGTCTGACGTAGTATTTAGAAATGTTTTGTGTTTCACCTTGCTTTAAGCACAACCTTCTGGACATAGAAGAGGAGAATCTGTTGATCGGAAGTTGACAGTGGCTCGGTTCTTTTGGTTCTCTTTAACGATTCATTAGTGTCAAGGAACGAAAGAATCAATGTGCAGAGCAGCACGTACTAGTTGCCTTCTCCTAATTATCCTAAATTCTCCTAAAAGTGAGGGAGATTAATAAAATAGCGTGTGCGTCGGAGCGAGAGCGGGAGCCGGATGGCCCTCGCGAACGTAGCACGTTGGATCCGTCGGATAGCGCGCGTTAGCACCATAGACTAGAGATCTCTCCTCTATGCTTAGCACGCCAATTGGTTGTAAAATTCTTCTCTTCACGTTGAGACTTTTCTCGTGAACGAAATTGTTCGTGACAAAAGAACCGCGCCACCGTTAACTTCTCATTTACCGCGCCAATTAATCAAGAAACATGTCTGCAGCGGCAGCTGTTCTGAGCAAAATGACAAAAAAAGTTCGTTTGTCTAATTCAGAAAAGGAGGGCTGTGTGTTCTTGTTTGCTATTTTATTTTGTGACATGTACTGCTGTATTTCATCTGCCATTCACATGGTTGTTACCTAGAATATTATTGTCTCTTTTACATAGAAAAGCATTTCTGTTGAAATACAAGAAAAAAAATTTGAAGTGCAAATAATGTTTGCGGGCATGATTTGTGGAATTTGCAGTTTTCCAGATCTTAATTTCTGCTAAAAATCTGATTGCGTATTCGTGACATTTTTTGTAGGTGGCTTACTTCATGAGCTGTCCAATGAAGGAGCTCGTTGCCAATTTGAAGTTTTTTTAGAAGAACTCATTTTGCCTTTAATGGTTAACTCTGCTCAACGAGGAGATCGAGAATGTCATGTCGTCGTGCTACTTGATGATGATGTTGTAGACTGGGATGAAGAGTATCCGCCACAGATGGGAGAGGAATATTCTCAGAGTAAGTGGAAATTTTTTTTACTGTATGGGTATTTTTTTGGTTTATTTGTGAGAGTAATTTACTACTGATAAGTAGTAAAATTAATTATTTCTGTTTTCACTAAATCATTTTTGACTTGAAATCTTATTTGCATTAAAAACATTCTGTAATCTTTTAAAGTTAAAATAGATATTGAATTTGGATCATTACATTTGAAAATTGGCGTAATTTTCTCCAAGACTTTCCATTTTGTTAAAACTCAATTTTTTTATTATGTTTATCTGGCTGAACTTCAGGCCTTGTGAATTTGAAATGGATATTTTGATTTTGGGGGGTACTTTACATAGAGCCATAACATTTTCAAAGATTTCTCAAAATTAATTAAAAATTTTTGAATTAAATTTTTCCTTCGAGCAAACGATGCTTAGTGGGCATAGGTGTAATTTTCATCAAAGTCTGTGAATTTTCAAAAATTGTAAAAGTTTGGCACCTTCCTAAAACTACAATATTAAAGAAAGAGAGGTTTTTCCTTAATGTACTACTGCTCAGATATGTCTTTCAATAAGGCCATGTACAATTTGTTGTAAGAGTAGTTTTATGTAATTTTGCATGAAATGAGGCAATTTTTCTTACAATTTTTTTTTTTCACTATTTATCTTTTCTAATTAGCAAAATAAAAATGAGATAGAAAACCTATAAAAACTAATAAAACAAAATCTGATTTTAAATTACAAATAAATTATTGAATGGTAGGAAATGGTATGATGTTAATGACATTGGCATTGTTATATAAGTAAATATGAGGCATTGTTTTGTCGTTTTTATTGCTGCATGAAGCTTTTCCGGTTGGGCAGGGAGCAAAACAGGCTGCTTTGTCTTTATCAGGTCCTGCAGCCTCCTCAGAATTACACTGAAGATAGCCGCAATGTGACTGAAAAAGGTTTATGCAGCAATAAACACAGCAAAACAACGCCTCATATTTACTTCTATAAATTATTAAATTATATTTTTATTAATATTGAGCTATGTGGTGTAAATCATAAGATAAAGAGGTGAAAATTTTTGGAACCTGTAGAGTTGGCATGTGAAGGGGGGTATACATATAATGGAGTTACTCACATTTTCTGAGTAAATACGTCAAAGAACATGAATAAACTTTCTGAGTATGCTCTCGTATCTGAGGCTATTATAAAAATTTACTCACGTTTCTAGATGAAAGTGAGAATATACTTAAAACTGATATGAATGAAACAGTAGAATGTTCACAGTGTTGCAAGTATTTACTCATATTTTTCTGAGCAAGCTTTGTAGTAGAGTCACCAAATTAGTGTTTCGAGGAGTGTAGTAGAGGTTATTGAGCGTTTGTAATTATTGCTAAGTATTGCTCCGAATTGGATTAAATTCCCACAGAAGAATTTGTGGAATAATATTTTTCAAAAGATGAAAATTATAGAAGATTTTGTGCTCAGAGGAGAGATGAAAAGTCTCAGATTTTAATCTCGTACATAATGTGTTTTTTGTTGTTACTCTTATCTGTAGTTCTTTCGGTGTTACTAATTTATTTTATAATGTTTTTCTTATTGTATATGTAATTTCACATCAAAGTGATTTTCGTATTTGAACGAGGCCCTTGATGACTTAAAGAAATATGATATTAAATGTACATCTATTTTGTGATTATACATATCAAACTGCTAGACTGAACATCACAAAACCTTGCAATTATTACTGAGTAGTATCGCTAGCTAGTGATCAAATCGTTACTGAATGTACATAAATCAGACCACTCTATGAAAAAAGTTTAGAAAAATTGAGTACAAACTCTGGTTGCTGTGAGTATGTACCCGTTACTTCTACACAGTGTTTTATTCTTACCAAAATGGGAATATATTCACCCAATAGAATATCTACTCCCCTTTCAGGCTCATATTCATGAGAAGAAACTCTGAATATAAACTCAAAGTTTATTCATACGACCAAAGGTCACAGGCAAGGTTACAAGCTTCCTGGAGCACGTGGGTGTTGCATCCAGAACAACTACCGTGAACTTTATAAGGGTTCAACAAACGGGTGCAGAGAGTGGTACCTTACTCAATATGTGGCCCAAGCCATTTGTTTGGAGAAGCCTGCTGAGCTATTACCTTAAATTGGGTGATTAGAATTCCCATGTACTTGTACTATAATAAATCCATTAACATTTGAATGTTTCAATTGAAAATAAAATTAAAATGTTCAATCCAGATGATTTTGACTTTGCAGTGTGCAATAATTGCTTTAACAATAAATCCAATAACATAAGTTTCTACGTTTAATTTAGAAATAAAGATTATAGTGTGCCAGTAAGAGTGATATGCTAAATCTAAGGGGAATCTTACTACAGGAGAGAAACTACAGAGAGTTGTTTCAGTAATTTACTTCACATTGGTACATTGCTTTATTCATCAAATAACACAATTCTTTAATAAAATCTAATACAAATGGAAATAAACATGCCTATAAAACATATTCCTGACAAATATGATTTTATTATTCTGTAATGGCAAAGATGATTGTACAAGGTGGAATTCAATAATAAAAAAAAAACAAATTAAGTAATAAATTTAAAAAATTAAAATAAGTCAACTCTTGTATGTCTATTAAAGTCTTTTAATTCTCACTCAAAAAATTATTGATTTTGGGAAATTATTCTTTCAATATTTGGTTGTATAGCTTTGCTGGACACTATTACCACTATTACCAAGACTCTAAATCTGTTTAATGTGTTCTGTTAAACGTGGTCTCTGAGCAGTTTTGTTGAGATTCATTTTCGAAAAAATTGCTTGCGTCTATACTATGTGTTCCCAAACATTGAAATTATTTATCCTGTAAACTTTCGATTGTTCAGGAAACAAGGACACGACCACAGCAAAGATTAATGTCTCTTCCAACCCTTCCACAGCTTCCTTTAAATTAGATAGTAAGTGATCACTTCCTTGTAATTGAATGTTTAATCTACTCAGATGACTCATTATTTCTGTCAAAAAGGGCAGGTCAGAAATCCATTTGTCTGTGGTCTGTGGAAAATATTTTCCCCTACCATAGCGTCACCGTCAATATTAAAAGAGCCTTGGCAGCTCTTGTACACTTCTTTCTGAATTTAGAGGGGAAAGAAAAGGGTGGTCGGGAAGTTGCCTGTGCCCGCAAGAGTGTTGAGGTTCCCGGTCGAGCAAGTAGATTGTGTGGCACTGTTTGACGCGCCTCCTGCAGAGAATTTACAGGCCTATAACTAGTATTTATGTGATCTCTGTCAGAACACGAGATATTCTTAAAAAACAAAAAAGTTTGTTTTTCTTTCTTTTCACCCCGTTTTTGTTGATTATATAGGTCCAAATTGTAATAAACGCCTAAAAAAAATTCTTGAAACATCTTTATAGTCTATAGAAAATTATTAATCACAAGAATGATTAAAGTAAATATTCTTAGGCACAATATGCTCTAAAAAATTAAGCTGATTTAAGAAGGTTAAAAAAAGCCTTGTTCTGTTGTGCGAAGTACTGTGGGCTAATTGTTTTTAATTCGACGACTTTTAAAGGATTGGTCTTCAGGAAACACTTTTGCCTATCTTAATTCAGCTATCCCCTTTTAAAGATATTACCTTGTCTTTATTATCCATTTATTGGATGCATATCTTAACACCAATAACTCAGAAATCTGTCAATGAAATACGTGAATTTTTTTTGGTAAATGTTTTGAAATTATAAAAACGTGTTAATTGAAATATAATTGAAATTATAAAATCAATTTAAAAACAAAGTTTGGAAACATGACCTACGATATTACCCATACCTAATGATATTACTCAATTAAATAATACTATTGAACTCAAAATAATAAAAGGTCATTATAAATTCAAAATTTATATTGAATCTGAACTACCTCTTAATACAGTTCAATTTTGGTATAATTTCTCAACTTAGTATGGCAGTTTTCCTGTCTATCTGTCATTTGATAATATGGTTCGTTCAAACCCAATAACCAATATGTACAACTTTGCCAAGGGTCTTTTACTCAGCCAGTCATGTCACATTCTAACCATGAGTACACCACCACAAGTCACCTTTATTACAGTTTATTTACTGACAATAATTTATATATTGATATAGATAGTATAATTGCTTATCTGAAGTCAATGGCCGTTAAATGACTTCTGGTGGTGATTAAGTTCCTTTGATATTATGGAGAGAATGTTATATGTCACTATCTGTGCCACACACTATTATTTAGAAGACAATATCGTCTGGTATCTTTGCTGACTGGTGGAAAATATTAAAAAATTGTCCTATTCTGAAAAAAAGCAATCCTACTTTGGATGAGAATTATAGTCTAATTTCACTTTTACCCAATTTTTCTGAAATACCATAAAATCATTTCTATGATATTATTTATACTGTCTTTCGAACTCTAATATCTGACGATCAAAATGGATTTATTGGAGGTCAATCTTCGGTATCAAACTTATTAACCTTCACTCAACTAATATACAATTGTTTGTTGGATTTTGGACGAGTTGATATTATATACACTGATTTCACTGAAGCATTCACACAAAGCATTTGACCATAATCCTAAAAAACTTGATAAGTTAGATATCCCTCAGAACTATTTGGCTGTTTTAGAATCATATTTGCATTATTGACTGAATGCTGTTTCTTATTTGGGTGTTAAATTAAATATATATCCAGCACATTCAGGCGTCCCACAAGGATAGAAATGAGAGACCCGGGGTTGCATGTCCTACATGTGCTCACTCGTATGCCTGCTTGACGCTGGAACCTTTAGGTAGACTGTCCTTTTTGTGAACCTCAGCGAGTCCTGTCTACTGCGTCTATGTAGTATATGCCCCCAATATACTACCTTTGGCCTCACCCTCGGCCTCTTCTAGACGGGCAGTCAAGATCTAAAGCACTCCCGATCAATCTGCGTGGTCTAGGTGTTCGACTTAATTCTAGGGTGATTGGGGAGAGTCAAGACGAGTAAGAACT